GTGTCTCCTCATCAATGAAATCTTGTGTGTGTGCGACTACTAGTATATACTATAAATATAAATATATATATATACTCATACTATATATCATACTATATCATATATACTATATATTAATATATATATTATTAGTATATATATATATATATAATTATATAACAGTATACTTTATATATATATTATATACTATATGTAACACATACATACACTAATACTATATATAAAATATATATATACTTATAATAGATCTATATTACTATAACATAGCAGTATTACTTCGACTATCATATTACTATATATATATATACAAAATATACATATGTACTACCTATATATATGTATATACTATTTACATATATATTATAATATATATTATATAGATATTACTATATTATGTATGTATGTAACTATATACCAATATAGTATATATATCGTATATCTATATATTATAATATATATATACTTACTTTACTATATACACAATTATATATGTATGTGTGCTGTGTATCTTTCTAATATACATGATAAATCAAATATACTATATATATATACTATATAACTTACTATATATCTATACTATAGTATATTATATACATACTATATATACACAGACACAGACACACACGACACACACCACACAGCACCGCACTCATCACACACACACACTACACACACACACACACACACACACACACACTACACCACACATACCAACACATATATATTATATATATATATATATATATACTATTTATATAACTATATTTATTCATATATATAGATATTATATACTATATTATATCAGCTTAACACATCATATAATATATATATATATATATCATGTACTAATATACACATTATACTATAACACTACTATATCATACTTATCATATAAAATATACAATAATATATATATATATTATTACCTATATATCATATATACTTTATATACACACACACACTCACAATATTGTAGATGTCATATGTATATATATGTATAAATATATCATATATATTATATACATATAATATATACTATATATATATACACACACACACACCACACACACACACACACACCACACACACACACACACACACACACATATATGTGTGTGTGTGCTGTGTGTTGTGTGTGTGTGTGAGTTGTGTGTGTGTTGTGTGGATGTGTGTGTGTGTGTGTGGTGTGTGTGTGTGTGTCACGCAGGTGTGTTAGATAGATAGAATAGTAAAATTATATATATGTATATATATATATATATATAATATATACTTATATATATATCTAATAAAAACACAAAATATTAAATGTTATGTGTACGGGGATTCCAATTTAAGCATACAATCTGCCGAAGCAACTTTTATAACTTCCTTCAGTCCAGACTTTGCGTAGATAATGGAAAAGTACCTCGATGAAATCATCCTTTTCATTCCTTTTACCATATGTTCTAGTTATAAAGAGAGAATGCAATACTCTAATGCTACTTAACACTGCCTCTATCAAGATACAAGGTTTAATAGTTCACCTACTGCGATTTCTAACGATTTACTCTTACTTCAAGTCTACGACACAATGCTAGCATCAAGTAGGTCTAAATTAAATTTGGCGAGATTTAAGCAACATCAGTCTTACAGGTGTGATGTGGGTGACACACTATGTCAAAAAGAACCAAATCAGTTCTGTAAGTACGTGATTGCTTTGTCTCTTAAAGTTGTTTGTACACAAGGATGTGCAAATGAGTTTTGGTTAGAAGCGATACAATACAGTAACGTCACAGGAGCGTTGTTGCGAAAGTGCGTTCAATGCTCATTACCAAGCTAAAGAAAGCCACGAGTATATTGCTCAGCACTATCCAATTGCATTATTTACATTACCAAGAAACCTGACACATGTAATGAGGTATAGAACCACAAAGTGAGGTGATCAATAACTGTGGAAGCACTCTGTGATTTAGATAAGTTCTCTGTCCATTTGCTAGGAGAAAAAAATCCCATTTTCTCTTGCACACATTTTCTGTTCCACCATTTTCTCGTCTCTAATAGTTCACTCCAACAGCTTTATGGCGTCGCATTTCATACAAACGGTGACTTTTAGACTTCAGTCATAGCAGGCAGTCTCCCAAGTCTTTTGAGATTCTTTTCTCTATATGATAGCCCTTTTTAAATGTTACTAAGAGTTCCTATCACTTCTCTCTCTCTTCCTCCATCCTTCCATCCCCTCATTCTCTATTTCTCTCTCCCTCCTTCCTTTCACCCCCTCCCTTCCTCCCTCCACCCCTCTCCCTCCCCCCCTCCCTCCCTCTCTCTGTTTCTCTCTTTCTATGTCTCTTTCTCTCCTTCTTTTCACCCCCCCTCTCTATCTCTGTTTCCCTCTCTCTCACCCTCATATTCTACCTTCCACTATCTATTCTCATACAAACAATCAATTGCCCTTAATTCACCCATGAACAAATGGACAGAGGATTATCTATAAACAACTAATTCCGACTAACGACTGTTCTTAGCTATCACTTATAGCTAAGGTGTGAACATTTGCAAGTTTCGGTAGAGGGGATTTTTCTATACTTATTTTGTATAAGTTTCGAAGATATATATGCATATTTTTCAATATACATGTTACAGCTAGAAGCCTTTTTACCAGATCTTGATAACATTTTGTTACTATGAAGTATAAATAATGATAAGAGTTATAATAATGAATATCATAATCATCGTTATCCTGGCAAACAGATAAAAAATTGAATAACTTAAAGAAACAAAACTTGATAAAACTTCCAAAATGATATATATATATATACATATATATATATATATATATATATATATATATATATATACTACATACATAATATACATAATATATATTAATAATATATATATATATATATATATATATATATATATATATCAATCCCCCGAGAACTCTTGAAAAAACACTGCTCATAATTCCATAAATATATATGATTATCGAAAAGACCTTCCGTAACATGTATATCACTCAAATCTTGACGTTTGCTGTTGCAATGATTGCACCGAAGCTTGCAGGTTGTTCCCAAGAATCATCAGTCTGGTGTGAGGTCATAGAAATAAATGTCTGATAAAAGATGTGCTCAATGTGATGTGATTTCCAACACTGGTGAAAGACCACGCGTCTACAACACCTTTTTGTGCGGAACGAAACACCTCTGCTCCCTGAACTCAAGAATTCATCCAAGATTGCAATTTGGATATAAAACTTATCTGATAAAAAGTGAATCATGTAACCATTACTTTTTTCATCTTTTCTCTTTTCCCACTTTCTTTCTTCCCCGTTTTCTTTTCTTTGCAATTCTCGAGTTGAGGGAGAGAGCGTGGCCCTGTTCCCGCTCCGGTGTATACCTCCGAATACGACGCAGGCGGGAGTACCAGGCCATGGCAGCCCTAAGATTGGTCCACTCCTGCTCGCTCCTTGATCTACTGAGCTTACTCGAATTGTCAAGGCGAGGCGGCTTATCTCGCTCGCTGTGGGGAAATGGTGAGAGACACAGGACAAACAGTGTGGCATCGCGAGGGGTCAGATTTCCTTGTATCAATGGTTTGAGGAAATTGATTTTATCTATAATTCATTTAATTTTGGGGGAAGATGCTACATTTGTAAGTATCAATCATTGTAATGCATTTTTTCAAATAAGAAAGTTATAAATTGATTATTTCAGTCATATAATCAATTGGTATTTATATTAATGTAAACTTTTATATAAATCGATGCATAAGTACACTTATACATAAAATATGTGTGTACATATATATGCATACACACATACATACATAAATACATACATATATATATATATATATATATATATATATATATATATATATATATATATATATATATATATATATATGCGCGCGTGTGTGCATGTATTGAATTATATTATAAAATATGCATATATACATATACATATATGCATATGTTTTATATATATATATATATTATATATATATATATATATATATATATATATATATATACATATGCATACACACACACACACACATCTATGCACATATATATCGATTAAAAGCTAAAGATAATGGGGCCCTGTATATTTTAGTGGATATCTATCCTCTCACGCAGGGCCTAAGATGGATAACAGTAACCTACCCAATTGGACACTAGCATTTCACTTTCTGCCAAATGCCGTGATTCGTTTAAGTCCTGTGTCTTTCCATTATCATAAAATATTCTAGCCTATAAAATATTGTATAATATACTTACGACTTGTACCGTAAATGCTTTAGCAATCAACTGATGCACCAGTTACAGTATATTACAGTAAAAAACGAAGTATAAGATGCAAGTTACACTGTAAAATCCACAAGTAAGGTTACCTGTGTTATCAGTCTACACAGCTTTTTCGTGACTTTAACATGTTTATTTTAACTCTCAGTCACTACCCGAAGCCCCGTAATGGCTTCAGAACAAATGATAAAACATCTAAAAATCAACACTTCATGAAAGCGGATTAGATTAATAAGGTCATTCCACTAAGAATACAAACTGCACATTGATAAGGTGTTTTGAAACAAACGGTGTCCTTGATCTAAATACGCTGTCACGTGGAACTCAAAATGAAAATGAACTTAATCTTGTAAAGTGCAACAAAGAAGCAATCTAAATCTTGTATTGTGACTAGTCAAGCAATGAAACAGTTTTGTCATAAAAAATCAAAAGGTCCTAAAACTGGGTCTCCACTATTCAAAACTCCATTCCAAATGAGGTTTAAGTCATACTCTTTAAAATGTGTTGTTAATGTATGCAAAATGCATATATGCGATTTAGATTTCAGTTATGGGTAAATGTGCCAAACCCTTGGACACATAATGGTGTACTTAAGATCTAATATTCTGCAAAAATCGTCCGACGGAAAATAATGAGATATATTCATGCTAGCTTCTCATCTTTAAGAGATTCCCACTCTCTATGGATTCAACTACGCCCGTTTTCTATGACCTACCTTATCGGCGAGGAGTCAGTGGTGACGGCGCCCCCGTCCGGGGCCCCCGGCAACCCTCCCCCTCCGCCCTCGTCGGTCGTCTTGGACTTGACGACCGGAGGCTTCTCTCTCGGCGCCTTGTTTTGATGGGACTGTTCATGCAGTTGTGCATTTTGCTGGGCTTGTTCATGCACTTGTGTCAAAGCAGCGAGTGCGAGAGAGGCGTGAGCTTGCTCTAGGGCTTCCCCAGGGATAAGGCTCACACGGCGGGAATTCCTGCCCGTTGCCCTGAGGGCGGCGGGGGAGGAGGGGGATCGGGGGCGCGGAGACTCACCCGAGGGGCGGCGCGGCCCTCCGAGGTAGTCGAAGTCCCCGTCGTCCAGGTCATCTTGGTCAACCACCTGCAACGACAGACAAGTTTGTTTCAGAGACTTGGCCCTTACGCAATTGCAAACGAAAAATGGAGAATTAATGAATATATCAATAATCGATTCCATTCGTCGCAAAACCGTTTTTATCGAACCATTTTATTATTCAAGCTTCTTACTCTACGCAT